CACAACAAACGCACCTTTTCTCACCCTCACACTGTTGGGTGGAAACCGTAATGACATCAACAAAAGCCAAAATCCAATCAATGAGCCAAAATTGCAGCTGTGGAACGGAGCTTCTGTGGCTCCAATTTGAATTTAATACCAATAAGACATATTTGCTGATGTGAATCGTGCAGTTCTGCAAAGAAGAACCGGTCCAAGCGCGCTCCTGAACACTGTGCAGGTTTGACGTACAGCTGCTGGAAATGCTTGAGGCTACCGCTGCCAAAGGAGGTTTAATCATTATTAAATCTCACTAGTTTCACCGGCACCGGGAATATTTGATGGCTGCGTTCAATTAAGACAGGCAGGGTTGTTGTTTTGTGTATGTTAGTGGCATGGGCACAGTGTTTTTTTGATTTAGATCATGTTTTTATGACTAATTAATGCAGAAACCAGATCTTTCCATATGGTTTGAAACACTTTTTTTTTGTATACATCGAGCACATACAGTCGATCCTCACATGAGCTGTCACAACACACAGAATCATTTTTCCTACAGCTTTTCTTTGTCCTTTTCTGCCTCAGCTCCTGTAGTAAATTGGTCCAGACAGATGGATGTAACAAAACAGGACAAATGACTAATCATGAATGGAAGGAGGGAGAAAAAAGCATTATCTGCGTAGGGAGGGAGCGAAGTAGATTTATTCTGCTGTCTATTATTTATTCTATGAGAGCTCAGCGCTGATCATCCGAGCTTCGTCTTGTCAGTCATCATTATCGATTTTTTTTTTTTTTTTTAACCTCCTGCCTTTTTGTCATCCAGCCCGCAGCCTTGTCATGAGTCTCAATCAAATATGGAAGGATTGATCAATAACTGGTGATTTGGTTGATGTCTTTCCTTATGGGGCCGACTGGGTTGATGTATTTCTCTTGTTCTGGAGAAAACCGATGAGGAAACTTTATCCATCCAACAATAGAAGCCGCATTCTTTCGACCTACTGGTGAAACGCTCCCTTCTCTGCCTCGTGCTATTCTCAGCCTACTTTAGAGGTAATTATACGTTGATTAAGGTGCAGGATGAAGAGGTTCTAAATGAACGACACAAAGCTGCGTATGGTGATTACAGTGAGATGCTTTTTTTCATTTTTTTGGGGGGGGGCGCCTGAGAAACTTTAAATCGATGTGAAATGTTTTCCAGACATTTTGTCAAAACGCCTATCCGCAGTCGATACTCTTATAGGCCAGCACCTGTAAGTAATTCCTAATCAATACGTTTTAAAATTCAGATGCGCTCGCTAAGCACCATGTGAGCAGAGGAATTCCGAATAGACTCAAATGAAAGTGAACCCTGCGTCTTTCATGATTTGGACTGACAGCTGCAGCTAGGTATCTTATGAATCTGAAGAAGTTCTTCTTCACTTCGATCAAAGCGATTTGATAATTACGTCTCATTGATTTGGAAAGCTTGTAACGCAAAAGCCTTTATTCCTCGCCGCAGCCTGCTCGGCGGACGTAGCGGCACCATTTGACGTATCACTTCTAGGTAATATCTGCTTTCCCATATTTCATTCATGCACGTGAATCGCGGACAGATGATTTATCAATACCAGGATGCTCGATTAGGAATCCGACTTATTGGTATTTAGTGGATTGCGAGGATATGGGAACCATTAAAGCCCGTGGCAGAGGCTGTCTAACAAGCCCCTGCAGCCTTGAGTCATTAGCGCACTCGCTCTGCCCGCTGATCGATGTTAATTTACGTTCACTGTAGTCAGCTGTCCACTTTCGCTCTCGAGCTGATCAACTTTATTTCGTCCGCTCGCGAGCACGTGCGCCTCATTGCAAAGTCAAGACTCAAGGATCCCTGATTGCATTTAGCCAAAGACAGTAGCTATTTATGCGGAGGCCAAAATCCCGTAAGGTATATAAGTGAAGGAGCGGGCGCTGCTCCCCTGTCAGAAAGCACAACTCTGTTTTAATGATGCATAGGTCCTTGGCATCCTTGGGGAGGATGTGTTTCTTGGTCACAGTCCAGAAATTTAAAGTAGTTGCTTGTGATCCCCATGATTAATTCATATACCCTAGAAAAAATACAATGGTAATAA